TCCAGCAGCAGCTCCGGGATTCCTCGGGACTCTTCCCAGTTCAGGGAAGTGCTGTGGGAGTTGCCGGGGTGGGGGGAGGCGAGAGGTTTTTTTTGCCCATTCCTGAATATATTTGTATATAATTGTATATATTTTCTTGTATAATTCATTAGTGTTTTAATTAAAGCTGTGTAGTTTAGTTTTCAATCCAGCCAAGTCTCTCTCTTTTTCTCTCTCTCCTTCCCTACCTGGGTTGGGGGGAGGGGGGATCGAGAGCATTGTTGTCGGACCTGAGTCAAACTGCGACAACACATTATCCCTGCAGGGTCAGTCCCCTCACCCAGCAATGTCCCATCCTCCAGCACCCCTGGCATGGCAGTGACGACAGGGATGGAGATGGAGACAGAGGCTGGGATAGGGACAGGGATGGGGACAGGAGGTTTGCAGACAAGGGGGCTGCTCTCACGCCAGTGAAGCTGTTCCAAGCAGCATGGGGCTATGGAGTTTGCTCCAGCTATCCCCAGTGTCCCCTGGCACTCACCCTCAGTGCTCATGGTCACAGATGCCACCCGGGTGAAGGTTTCCTGCCTGATGGTCAGTGTCACCTCGCATCTGAACTCTACTCCGTCCCCCACCTCTTCCCTGGCCACCGGCAGCACGGACACGATGTCAAAGAGCTGCTCCTCGGTCTCTTTCTCGTCGAAGCCTGACTGCAGCGCTCGGTGTCCCTGGTACCAGGTGAGTCGCAGCCCCTCCACCGGGTACACGCCCCGGGCTGAGCAGCGCAGCCCCAGCCCCGCGGCACCGGGCTCTGCTTCCAGCTGCAGCCTGTCCGGGAGGGCTGGCAAGGGAATCGCAGCGTCACGCCGCGATTTTTGGCACCACAGCCCAGGGGGGAGCGGGCTGCCCCGGGGCATCCAGGACGTAGCCAGGGAGGTGGTGTGTGACGAGCTGGGGAACACTTACCATAAACCTTCAGCTCGACGGTGCACTGGTAGACCTGCCCATGGCAGGTCCCCTGGCAGATCTTGGTGCCCTCCGTGGCAACCACAGCGCTGCTGATGTGCAGGATGCTGTGGGTGGAGAAGGAGGTGACGCTCCCCAGGTTGGTGTCCCCCCACCGTGCCCCCCGCACAGGCCAGGGAGCAGTTCGGCTGCACCGAGCCCCCGAGCTGCACCACCGGCTGCCGCGGCGTCACCACCAGCTGGTTCTTGGGCTGCCCTGGGCAGAGAGGGGAGGAAACCGTGGGTTCAGGCACAGGGACATCAACAGAACCTCGTTGTTTACAAGGCAAAGGGGACGACGGTTCTCTGGTTGGGTGAGAAGGGGCTGATCACGCTTAGGTGCCACAGCAGCCCCATCCCCAGCGATGGGGGTAGCTCCGCTCATTAGCGATGGCTCATTAGGGGTGGCCGGGCTGCACTGGGCTGCAGCACCAGGACAAGGGACACGGCAGCCACTGGGGCTCAGTGACGGGGCGACCCCGGGGCCGCGTTGTCCCGTGCAGAGCACAGAGCGCAGCGGCGGGGCCGGGCGAAAGGACCGGGGCGGCTCTTGGCCCCGCCGCACTCACCGCTGCCGCCCCGCAGCAAGCCCAGGAGCAGGGGGAGAAA